CAGCCCCACCACACCCGGCACTTTTCCCTGCAACCGCAGGGAGGGCTACACCTGCCCCTACACCTCCTCCCTCACCCCCATCCCAGGCCCCAAGAAGACTTTCCACATCAAGCAGATGTTCACCTGCACATCTGCTAATGTGGTATACTGCATCCGCTGTTCCTGTTGTGGCCTCCTCTACATCGGGGAAACCAAGCGGAGGCTTGGGGACCGTTTTGCAGAACACCTGCGCTCGGTTGGCACTAAACGACTGCACCTCCCAGTTGCGAACCATTCCTCAGATGACATGTCCATCCTGGGCCTCCTGCAGTGCCACAACGATGCCACCCGAAGGTTGCAGGAACAGCACCTCATATTCCGCTTGGGAGCCCTGCAGCCCAATGGTATCAATGTGGATTTCACAAGCTTCAAAATCTCCCCTCCCCCTACCGCATCCCAAAACCAGTCCAGCTCGTCCCCGCCTCCCTCACCTGTCCTTCCTCCCACCTATCCCCTCCTCCCACCTCAAGCCCCACCCCCATCTCCTACCTACTAACCTCATCCCGCCCCCTTGACCTGTCTGTCTTCCCTGGACTGACCTATCTCTTCCCTAGCTCCCCACCTATATTCACCTTTACTGGCTCCATCCCCACCTCTTTGACCTGTCTGTCTCCTCTCCACCTATCTTCTCCTCTATCCATCTTCTATCCGTCTCCCCCTCTGTCCCTATTTATTTCAGAACCCCCTTCCCCTGCCCCATTTCTGAAGAAGGGTCTAGGCCTGAAACGTCAGCCTTCCCGCTCCTCTGATGCTGCTTGGCCTGCTGTGTTCATCCAGCTCTACACCGCGTTATTTCAGATTCTCCAGCATCTGCAGTTCCTACTATCTCTGATACTTTTCATCTCCTCTCCAGTTCTTTAGCCAATTATCTCTGCATCCTCTTATTACCAAGTCCCCTGCTGTTGGATACTCCATAATTACTCTGCCAGACTGCTTTGAGTGTCTCTGCAAATTTCCTGTGCAGTAGTTGGGCAATGCTGCAGTCGGAGATGCTGGGTTTGGTTTGAGACTGCCCTGTCAGGTGAATGGAAGGTATCGCAGATCCACTATTGCGGCTCTCTGTGGCGTCCTGAGCAGATGCTTATTTCTCAACTTCAACTTTCAACTTTGCCAAGCTGCAGATAACCTGTTCATGAACTCATTATTGTTTGGGAGAACTTTGTGCAAATGAGCTGCTGCACTTGCTATGTGGCAACACTTCAATTGTCCTGAATTAACTGTAAGAGTGCTTTGGGATCTTCGGAGATGCTGAAGGGCACTACATAAATTCAAATACTTATCTATTGCCACCGCACAGGACTCTGAAATTTGGCGAACACCTTTCCTCCCTGACTTGTGTCAGCTCTTGATTATTATCTGTTCCTTTGCAGCTCTGCCTAGTTGACGCCAGCTTTAAACTCTGAGACATGGGAACCTAAAAACATCATCTCAGTGTACAAAATGAAGTTTCCTTTTGGGTTCTACTCCTGAAAAGAACTGACAGCAATAACTTTCTGTAAAGAATTCCCCAGTCTTCCACCATTCCAAAAGCATCTCATTTGTCAATAGTTCTTATTGATTTGTTTTCTAGAAAGAACGTACAAAAATGAGTTGTGTTATTGTTATACTGTATAATTGAACACAGAGGGAATTTACACATATATTGGCAGGACTTTGCTGGGAAAAATAAAACTATTGTTTATGCTTCATTATTTGAACTGTGTGCAGATCTTTAATCTCCTGAGAATTTTGACTTCTAACATCAAAGCATTAACTTACTCCTTAACTACTGAGAAACTAATTGTGAAGCTCTGGACTATAAAATCGACACAAATAATAATTTTTGTTATGGTAATCTTCTGGTAGATTATTTGCAGAAATAATTTGAACAGGACACATCTTCATGGTAAATTAATGGCAATGCAGACTGTTATTAAAACACAAGTCAGCCAATCAGCCCAGGGAATGGAGAAACACATCAGTTGTCAATTTTCACAACTGGCTACTGGACTGATGCTGTGTCCATAAAAAGAGGAGCATGAATAGGTCATTCAGCCCTTCAAGCCTGCTCAACCAATCATTATGATCATAGCTGATCTTCTAACTCAATTCCCTGTTCCTGCTTTCTCCCTATACTATTTGATGCCTTTAGCCCTAAGAACTGTATTGTATCTAATTCCTTCTTGAAAACATTCAATGTTTTGGCCTTAACCACTTTCTGTGGCAGAGAATTCCATAGGTTCACCATTCTCTGGGTGAAGACATTTCTCCTCAAAGAACCCCTACATTCAGCTCACTAAGTCTGCACCGACCACCCGAACAGCATCCCACCCACACCTAGCCCCCAACTCTATCCCCGTAATCTTGAGTTTCCCATGGCTAACCCACCTAGCCTGCACATCCCTGGACACTACGGGCAATTTAGCATGGCTAATCCACCTAACCTGCACATCTTTGGGCAGGAAACAAGAGCACCCAGAGGAAACCCACATAGACACATGGGGACTGTGCAACCTTCACATTCACCCGAGGCTGGAATCGAACCCGGGTCCCTGGCTCTGTGAGGCAGCAGTGCTATAGACTGAGTTAACATGCCACTCATCTCAGTCCTAAATGGCTTACTCCACATCCTTAGACTATGGCCCCTGCTTCTGGACTCCCTGGGTCTTTGGGAACACCCTTCCCTGTGATTATCTGTCTAGTCCTTTGAGAATTTTATAGGTTTCTATGAGATCCCCCCTCAGTTTACAAACACCAGTGAGTATAATCCAAACCGATCCAGTCTCTCTTCATACATCAGCCCTGCCATCCCAGGGATCAGTCTGGGAAACCTTTTGTTGCATTAACCTTTGCTCCTGTTGAGCTACCCACAAACCTTTGCTCTGAGCATTCCCTAATCATTAGGAATTTCTGGATTTTCATTGTAATTGCTCAGGAAAAGGTGGGGGGGGGTGGTTGGTGGTGGTGCTGGTGGTGGTGGTCGTGGTGTGAAATCTACTGTCCTCACCTCAGTCTGGCCTGTAGCAATGCGGTTGACTTTTAGCTGCTTTTCAAAATGGTTCAGTAAGACACTCATCTGCTCAAGGCAATGAGGGATTGTCAATAAATAGGCTTTACCAGCAATGCAAACGCCTCAAGACTGAATTACCAAAAAGTGGTTAGCACTGCTGCCCCACAGCGCCAGGGACCTGGGTTCAATTCCAGCCTCGGGCGACTGTCTGTGTGGAGTTTGCACATTGTCCCCATGTCTGCGTGGGTTTCCGCCAAGTGTTCCAGTTTCCTCCCATTGTCTGAAGATGGATTAGGTGGATTGGCCATGCTAAATTGCCCATAGGGTCCAGGGATGTGTGGATGAGGTGCATTAGCACCGGAAGTGCAGGATTATAGAGATAGGTTAGAGGGATGGGTCTGGGTGGGATGCTCTTCGGAAGACCAGTGTGGAATTGTTGGGCCAAATGGCCTGTTTCCACAATGTTTGTGGGGGTTCTATGTTCACATTGTTCACTGTTTTCATCCACACTGTGGGTGGATTCTTACCATGTTTTGAGTAGCCAGGGTCTATGGTGAGATGCAAAACAAAAGTTGCTGGAAAAGCTCAGCAGGTCTGGCAGCATCTGTCAAGAGAAATCAAAGTTAACGTTTTGGGTCTGGTGACCCTTCCTCAGATTTACAGCATCCTCAGTTCTTTTGGTTTCTATGGTGAGATGACTATTAGAAATGGGCGAGAGGTTTAAGGGAGGCCCGTCTCCACATCAAGATCATTGTACTGCAACTTGTCTCTCGAGCGATGTGGTGAGATTCTCACCAGGGAGTGCCGGTTTCCCAATTGATGTTCGCTAGTGCTTGTTAAACACCTTGTTAACAGCCTGATGCCTCTCTCGCACTCACCATCAGAGAAAGTCACCATCCTGGCACTGCACCCTGCAAGGGCAGGCTGATGTAAGAGGGCACACTTTCAACCAGCAGTCAATGGCTACATTAGGTACAGGTCCCACATGGACTGACTGTCTACCAGGGCTGCCCCCTACTCTCACAGTGTGTAGTCCCCTGGTCCTTACTGGCATGCCCACACTGCCAGCTGAACAGCAGACAATAATGAATGAGGATCGAGGGTGGTGTCAGAGCGAACTGATGTCCTGCACACACAATGCTACCCCTGCTCCCAGAACAGGCACCCATCATACACCCCTAACCACTGCACCTCATTATTGGCCATGGAATGATGCCAAAGCATGCAATGAAGTATCAACTATTCTAACTGATCTACTCTATTTTTAAATTTTAGATGCTTCAAAAAGTTCAATGAGGTGGATCAGGCATGACCTTCTCATTTAAGATCTACACTGACTACCCTTGATTATATTATCAGCTCTACAATGAAATCTTGATGAAAGAATCTTTCCTCCATTAACTTTAAGCTAAATACTCCCTTGTCATCTGAACTTGTTCTATCTCGTTTTTAATGCACAAATAATGATAGCTACTCTGTAACCCATGGGAATTATCCCTTTTCCGAATGAACTCGCATTTAAATAGCAATAGTGCTTTGATTGTCTTTACCCAATACCTTTTAACTTGAAAAACTGCACCTGCCAAACCCTCAATTTCCACCAACTGGAAGGATAGAGGAGAGAGGATAGATGCAAACACTGTCCACTGGAGGTTCCCCTCCGAGCCACTCCAAAAAGGGTATTGAATAAATCTGGAAGGCGATGGGGGTAAGAGCAGAGGGAATGGGACTGCTCTTTCAAATGGCCAGTTAAGGCAGGATGGAGCAAATGACCTCCGTCTGTGCCATATAATTGTCACCAGGATTTAAGAGCCAGATCTTTAGACAGCAGGACTGTACATCGCTGTAGCATCTGTCCTTTCTCTTGGAGATCTGCAATGTCCATTCGTCTTAGCAAAATGCCTTTGACCACTTTTTCGAGTGAGCAACATTTCACTTCTTTGTTCAGTCTCGATACTCGCCAGGCATTTCAAAGCGTTCATCTACATTTATTTGAATACCACACACATACCATGAATTCTGCATGAATTTAAAATGTCTCCTTTAAACATTAATGCTCATGGGCAAAGGGCTTTATACTCGAGACTTCAATTTCTTTCCCCCAACCACGGCTCCAGGGAACCTACAGCAAATAAATGTCTTGGTTTGAATTATCTTTAGGGACTGTGTAGCCAGTGGCAACTACATGGTTGTGAGGAGGCAAAACCGCTTTCAATGAAATATGACAGAAAACACAGAGGTGTTGAGTGCTTTTGGTTTTGTTTATCTCTGTCTTTCCATTTTTCTGTCTTTGCAGTCGTGAAATGATTGGCACTGATATTTGAGAATGGAGCATCCACTGCTTTCACTTTCCTCATTAATTATAAAATTTCTGTGTTGTTTCCTTTGATCATTTTCCCCGCTTGTTCTTTGGCTTTTTCTTCTTTATTGATGTCCTTGACCCTTCACCCTAAAGTTAAAAAAAAATTGAGTGCATTGTTCAACAATAAAACGGTCTGAAAGATACAGAATGTTGTAGCGAGTTACAAAGGGACACAGACACACCAATGGGAAAAGGTGTTGCGAATCCAGTGATAGTAAAGCTGATTTGATTTCACTTGCTCTCCCTGATCGTAACAAATCGATATTATACAGATCATAATTTTAAAGACCCCCGCACTCTGATCATTCCTCATTTCTCAGGGAAAGACGTCCAGTCTGCTCAACAGGTGAAGGTATTCACCAACATCTTCAACCTCTCCCTCCTACAAGCCAAAGTCCCCACCTGCTTCAAGAAGACCACCGTCATCCCTGTACCTAAGAAAACACATGCAACGTGCCTTAATGACTACCGCGCAGTGGCTCTGACCTCAATAATCATGAAATGCTTCGAGGTGGTGGTCATGGACCACATTAACTTGTCTCCCAACCTGCCTCGACCCCCTACGATTTGCCTATGACTTAACAGGTCCGCAGAGGATGCCATATCCCTAGCCCTGTGCTCATCCCTGGAACATCTAAACATCAAAGGCACCTACATCAGACTCCTGCTCAGTGACTACAGCTCTGATTTCAACACCATTATCCCCTCCAGACTGATCTCAAAACTGGGTGACCTTGGTCTCAGCTCCCCCTCTGCAACTGGATCTTCAGTTTCCTGACCCACAGACCGCAATCAGTGAGGATAGGTAACTGCACCTCCTCCACAATAACACTCAACACTGGAGCCCCCTAAGGATGCATCCTCAGCCCCCTACTGTGCTCCCTGTACACCCACAACTGTGTTGCCAAATTCCGAACAAACGCCATCTACAAGTTCGCTGATGATACCACTGTAGTAGGATGGATATCTAACAACGACGAGTCAAAATACAGAAGGGAGATAGAGTGCTTGGTGACGTGGTGCAATGAAAACAATCTGTTTCTCAATGTTGGCAAAACTAAAGAACTCATCATTGACTTCAGAAAGAAAGGAGGAGAACACGTCCCCATCTACATCAACGGAACTGAGATTGAGAGGATGGAGAACGTCAAGTTCCTTGGAGGGACGATAATCAATGACCTGTCCTGGACTTCCAACGTAGGTGCAACAGTCAAGACGGCACAACATCTCTTCTTCCTCAGGGAGCTCAGGAAATTTGGCGTGTCCATAAGGTCCCTCACCAACTTCTACAGATGCACCATTGAAAGCGTGCTGTCCGGGTGCATAATGGCCTGGTACAGCAACTGCTCTGCCCAGGACCGTAAGAAACTACAGAAGGGTGTGTGCACAGCCCAGACCATCACGGAAGCCAACCTTCCATCCATGGACTCTATTTACATGGCTCGCTGCTGTGGAAAGGTGGCCAACTTCATCAAAGACCCATTACACCCTGATAATGATCTCCTACAACCTCTTCCATCAGGCAGAAGGTACATAAACCTGAACACATGCACCAGCAGGTTCAGGAACAGCTTCTTCCCGGCCGTTATCAAACTGATGAATGGAATCTCTCACCTCAAATAACACTGATATTGCTAACATTGATCTCGCCTAGCGCACGCCCTTTGCAATATAACCTGTATGCCTCTGTCTGAGTATTTTTACAACCTCTGATCTGTACATCCTTGCTTACTATGATTTGCCTGTACAGTTCATAAGCAAAGCTTTTCACTGTCTTTTGGTACATGTGACAATAAATCAATCAATCAACCCTTTCTCATCTTAATACCTTGCCTTTGCCCTTCTATCAGCTGTACTTATCACTGCTGTCTGAGTTATTTTGCATTGTGACTTTGGTCTTACCGCTAATTCGGCATAGCCTTCATCAACAAGAATATTTCTTGCACAGTTATTGATGTGCTTGAAGCGATCAGGGCCGAGTAAGATGCCTCCATACCACCGAGAAACAATGACCAGTACATTGCGTGCGTCCAAAATCTGTTGAAGTAAAACATTATGTAAAAGAAAGGTCACATTTAATCTTTACCAATAACCGCAGAGATGTAAATGAAAGACAAGGTCGACTGATTAAAATCCCACTTCAAGAAAACTTCATAAATCACACACTGGACACCAGTTGGAGTCCTCTGTCTAATTCTGGCTACACCTTATTATAGGAAGGATGCAAGTCCCTGAAGAGGATGCAGACAATGACTAGCAGAATTTTTTCAATCTTTCAGCAAAGGTTCATCATTATTTCCTTAATTTTGTACTCTATGCATCTGTTTATTTTAAATGTATGTTTTCATGGCTTAAGCGCATCCTTGCATTGGAAGACTGTGACTCGTGGGATACCTCTGGGATTTTCTTTTTCTATTCATTTCATGGGATTTGGGCATCGCAGGCTGGCCAGCATTTCTTACCCATCCCTAGTTGCCCATGAGAAGGTGGGGGTGAGCTGCCTTCTTGAACCGCTGCATTCCTCCTGCTGCGGGTTGACCCACAATGCTATTAGGGAGGGAATTCCAGGATTTTGACCCAGCAACAGTGAGGGAACGGCGATATATTTCCAAGTCAGGATGGTGAGTGACTTGGAGGGGAACTTGCAGGGGGTGGTATCTGCTGCCCTTGTCCTTCTAGATGGAAGTGGTCGTGAGTTTGGAAGGTGCTGTCTGAGGATCTTTGGTGAATTTCTGCAGTGCATCTTGTAGATAGTACACACTGCTGCTACTGAGCGTCGGTGGTGAAATGATCAGTACGTTGACCTGGATATGGAGACTAAATGTAATATTTCCAAGTTTGTGATGATACAAAGCCAAGTGGGAATGTGTACCAAGAGGAAATACAAACCAGTTTCAAGAGGATTTGCACAGACTGAGTCAGTTGGCAAGAAAATGGCAGATGTGTGTAAATTATGGAACTCACTCTCTAACGGGCCTACCCACACAAAATGGACAACAGTCATTCAAGAAGGCAACTCACTTATTCCCCACCTCTGGACCAGGAGACCTGAGTTCAAGTCCCACCTGCTCCAGAGGTGTAATAACATCTCTGAACAGGTTGATTAGAAAATAACAGCAGGCAGCTTCTCAGGGAACAATTAGGAAAGGGATAATAAATTATTTTTTAAAAAGGCAGACAAATATGAGCTTTCCATTTTGGTAGAAGTAACAGAAATAATTTGCTTTTTCCAATTCACTCACAGAAGCAGAAATTAGGCCATTCGGCCCATCGAGGCTGCTCCGCCATTCAATCATGGCTGACAAGTTCCTCAACCCCATTCTCCCGCTTTCTCCCTGTAATGCTTGATCCCCTTGATGATCAAGAACCTATCTATCTCAGTCTTAAATGTACTCAATGACCTGGCCTCCACAGCCTTCTGTGGCAGTGAATTCCATAGATTCACCACTCTCTGGATGAAGAAGTTTCTCCTTATCTCCGTTCTAAAAGGTCTTCCCTATACTCTAAGGCTGTATCCTCGGGTCCTAGTCTCTCCTACCATCTTCCCAACATCCACTTCGTCCAGGCCATTCAGTATTCTGTAAGGTTCAATTAGATCCCCCATCATCCTTCTCAACTCCAACGAGTATAGTCCTTGAGTCCTCAAACGTTCCTCATATGTTAAGCTTTCCATTCCTGGGACCATTACCTGTTTATGTCACAGTGGGATTTGAACTCATGTCCCCAGGAGCTAAGGCTCTGGATTCCTACAGCAGTGACATCATCACTACACCACCATCCCCTCAATAAAACTCAGAAATGTTCTGTTACCTGCAGTAAATGCAGAAGGCGTCCACCAGCTGCGGTTTCTCCATCATCTTCACAGTCTTGCAGGAATGTCTGTTTGTCCTCGCAGTATATCCTAAATAATTAATCCTCATAATCTAGTCATGCTTCCAGTGAACACACGTCTCACAGTTACGGACTGAAATATACAATCCTATGCCGCTATCACTTAAAACCACAGCATCAGCAATAGCAAACACCGCAAATTAATTATTAAAAATTATAATCTTTGATGCTAGTGTCATACCAAGCACACCTGAGAATGTCTCAATTTCCTAAAGCCAGCATGCCCTTTTTAACATGTTAATCCTTACCGTTGCTGCCACAGGTCACCTGACATTTGGAATACAAGTCTGCCAATGTTCTGGAAGCTTCCAAATGTGGATTGTGAAAATGTCATCTGGACAACTTCCTCATTGAATGTCATGCCTGCCAAGGCCAGGAATTAACCCAAAACAATAAATCCTCAAGGTTTTCTCCTTACTCCTTCTTGGGATGTGGATACCCACGGCAGGAATGACATTTGCTGCCCATCCCTAATTACCCTCGGACTTAGTGGCTTGCTGGGGGCAGTTAAGAATCAACCACATTCTGGGTCTGGAGTCACATGTAGGCCAGACCTGGTAAGGATGGTAGATTTCCCTCCCTAAAGGACATTAGTGAACCAGATGGGATTTTTAATTATAATTGATAATGGTTATGTGGTCACTTTGGACTTGCTTTAAATTCCAGATTTGTTACCAACTAAAAATTTCACCATCTTCCATGATAGGATTCAAACACATAACTCCAGAACATTAATCTGCGGTTCGGGATTGCTAGATAAGTGATATTATCACCATTACATCATTGTCTCCCTTCTTTATACATTTGCCAGGACTAGGCAAACTTCCACATTGTTGGGTAGATGCCAGAGTTCACTATGGTGGAACAGCTTTGTTAGGGGAGTGGCGAGTTCTGGAGCACAAATCTTCAGTACTGTTGCTGGAATGTTTTCACTTGCAATAAACAAAAACATAAAAAGCTGGAGAAACTCAACAGGTCTGGCAGCATCAGTGCAGACAGAAACAGAATTAACTTTTCGAGTCTGGTATGACTCTTCTTCAGACTACCACCATTGCAGTATCCATTGTTTTCAAACAATATCATGTGCTGTGAACTGACTTGGGTGAAGACTGGTATCTGTGCTGCCAGGGACCTTTGGAGGAGGCCGAGATGGATCATCCACTTGGCACTTCTGGCTGAAGGTTGCTGCAAATGCTTCAGCCTCATCTTTCGCACTGATGTGCTGGGCTCTTCCATCGCTGAGGATGGGGATATTTGTGGAGCCTCCACCTCCAGTAAGTTATTTAATTGTCCACCGTCATTCACAACTGGATGTGGCAGGACTGCAGAGCTTATGTCTGATCTATTGTTTGTACGATCGCTTAGCTCTGTCTATCACTTGCTGCTTTCGCTATTTGGCACACTTGTGGTCCTGTTTGGGAGTTGTACCTGGTTGACACATCACCTTCAGGTAAGCCTAGTGCTGCTCCTGGCATGCCCTCCTGCACTCTCCATTGAACCAGGGTTGAACCCCTGGTTTGATGGTAATGGTTGAGTGGGGGATATGCCAGGCCATGAGGTTACAGATTGTGCTGGAGTACAGTTCTGCTGCTGTTGATGGCCCACAGCGCCTCATGGATGCTCAGTCTTGAGTTGCTAGATCTGTGCAAAGTCTGTCCCATTTAGCACGGTGATAGTGCCACACAACACGATGGAGGTTGTTCTCAATGTGAAGGCAGGACTTTGTCTCCACACAGACTGTGCAGTGGTCACTCTTACCGATACTGTCATGGACAGATACATCTGCAGCCAATAGATTGGTAAGGAAGAGGTCAAGTATATTTTTCCCTCTTGTTAGTTCCCTCGTCACATGTCACAGATCCAATCTAGCAGATAAAGGGTGATAGGTTGGTTTTCTACAATAATTGACAATGGTTTAGGACTAATAGTTAATTTCAGATTCATTAATTGAATTTAAAAATTAAATTCCACCATCAGCCGTGGCGGGAATCGAACCCTCATGCCCTGAGTAGTCACATGACAACATTTCTATCCGGAGGCTGTCAGTGTTCCAATGATACTCAACACAAGCTTGAGGAAAAATACCTCACTTTCTGCTCAGCCACTTTGATCTGATTTGATTTATTATTGTCACATGTATTGAGATACAGTGAAAAGTATTGCACTGCATACTAACCGGACAAATCATACCTTCCATAAGTGCATCAGAGTAATAGGATCGAATGCAGAATATACTGTTAACTTTACAGCCTCAACGTTGAATTCCAGAACTTCAGAACATGACTTCTGTCACCCATTTTTCTTACATTCCCCTCCCACTCCCTTCGCTGGAACAGCAAACCCACTTTCCCTTTTCCACACCTAATACTGACACCTATTTTACATCTCAATCATTTCTTTATCATCCTTATCACTGCTTTTGTCTTTTGCTCTGGGCACCCCCACTATCTGTTCCATATGGTCCTCCTTTCCCTTTGTCAACAGCTTAAAATCCATAATTTTCCAGCTCCTTTCAGTTCCAAAGAAGAGTCATACTGGACTCAAAACGTTAATTCTGTTTCTTTCTCTCCACAGACACTGCCAGATCTGCTGGGTTTCTCCAGCACTTTCTCTTTCTCAACAGAAAGTTGTGGACACAGCTCAGATCATCACGGAAGCCAACCTCCCATCCATGGACTCCATTTACATTTCTCATTGCCACCGAAAGGCTGTTAACATCAACAAAGGCTCCCTCCCACCCTGGTAATGCTCTCTTCCAACCCCTTCCATCAGGCAGAAGATACAGAAGCTTGAACACACGCACCAACAGGTTCAAGAACAGCTTCTTCCGTGCCATTATTAGACTGCTGAATGGACCTCTCTAACTTAAAAAAAAATGTTGATCTTGCTAATGTTGATCTTGCTTTGTGCACTTCCTGTGCAGCCATAGCCTTGAATGGCTCACTGTCTAACACCCTATGGTCTGTATACCTTTGTTTACTATGATCTGTCTGCACTACACGCAAAACAAAGCTTTTCACTGTACTTAGGTATATGTGACTACAATAAATCAATTCCAATCAAATTAAATCTTTTTTATTTCAGATCTCCACCATCCACAGCATTTTGTTTTTATTCTCCAGACCATTAGCTGGAGCCTCTGGATTCTGGCTCAGTGGCACCACTGCTCTGTTTCCACCATGGGGTAATTAGGAATGGGCAACAAATGCTGATCTTAAAATGATCGTTCTCAGTGATTCAATTCCTGCTCGATTTTGATCATCATTTAAGTGTTACAAAATTCTTGACATGACTGAACCGATTGGCCTTTCCTGTACCTGTAAGCATAGATGTTGTGTGTGGCGTTGGCAATCTTTTTGTTCTGATAAAGTTCCTGTAGAAGCAGTTTCACCTGAAGAGGAGACAAAGCAGACAAACATCTAAACCTTTAATTTCTGCATTAGGTTTGTGGCATCTGCAGAACTAAAATGAAATGCACAATAATGGATATCCTTCACTTTGCAATCTCAGGTACTATTACTGGATGCCAATTTGGATTAGAACTTGGATAAAGAAAGGATTTGCATCTCCACAGTCTCCTGTGAATGTGGGATAGGGAAGAGATGCTAAATGACTCCTGTATTGTCACAGTTGTAGCTCACTCCAATATCAAAGGCAATGACAGAGGAATTTCACACTCATCATCAGCAGGGAAGATCTCTGCCCAGACCATCCTGAACAGACTTGGCGTTGGGGCAGAAATGGCTCAG